ATCTTTTTGGAGAGAGGACACAGATAAACCTCCAAATGGCCTCAGCAATCCTCAGAAAGAATGCAGTCAGCTCTTCCGAAAGGAATACAAATCCTTCCCCACCATCCGGTCAGAGCTGAAGAAGCTTCTCGGGTGAGATGTGTCTTCAAAGAAAAACCAAGGAAGCCCAGTTGCCTTGGGAAAAAGCACCTTTGGGACTACCAAGAATTGTGTTCAGTGAGCCTTCGGTAATTTCAGTCATCTTCCCCCTGCTCCAGGCAGGTAAGAGGGGGTGATGGTGCCCTTTGGCTGTCCAAAGCTTCTCTTTGGTTCTGCCTTCAGTCACCAGACTAGAAGCATTTTGCCAGAGCGTTCCAGACAAGTTTTATAATTTGAAATGGCTAAAAACAGGGGGAGGCGAGGCTCCTTAGAGACTGCCCTAATCTCCTAACCTGCAAAACGGAAACATGACTCTTTTTTTCCATTAAGAATTCATCCTCCAATGCCTCAGAAGAGAAAGGAAAGAAAGGCAAAAGAAGGGCAAAAAGGCGTAAAACCAAAAGCGAAGCCAGGAAAAAAACGGAGGACTACTGCTTCCGCTGCGGAGATGGAGGGCAGCTTGTCCTGTGTGACCGGAAGTCCTGCACCAAGGCCTATCACCTCTCCTGCCTTGACTTGGTAAAACGTCCCTTCGGTGAGTAAGCATTCAGATATGCCTCCACTCCCTAACAAGGATTTTGGATCCCCAAGGATCTTAATCAAACCAATTCCAAGTTTTAAAGGACATTCCCTTCAGGCAGTCAGGTTAAGCGTTGATTCTGGTGCTTAAAATGCGGCCGGCCACCTCCAGCAGGATTGGTCCACGGCGGAGCAGTGAGAAGCGGGTGGGGTTTTGTTGCGTGACTTGACACGGGAGAACCGTTCAACCTCTTCTGCACGTGTGTTCTCAACCAGCCAGATCAGACCTCAAACCGTGAAGCTCAACCAAGCCGTGTCTACCTGTCTTGGGTCTTTGCTGTTCCAGGGAGAGGGGTGTGGTTTTCCTTGGAAATGATCAGCAGCCGCACTCCTGGGGAGGCTCCAAAGCTAAACTGTACATTGTTAAGCTAATCGTAGTTTATTCAGCGGGAAAGAAAAGCCATTAAAGAGGGCCACTCTGGATGCGTAGCGCTTTAAATGCTTTTTTAGATAAAATGCTTGGTTTTTTGTTGTCTTTAATCGGTTCTCGTCCCCTACTTCAGGGGGATAAAGAACGGGGCACACCGTTCCAATTGGTGGCTGCCATTCCAGTTCCTTCAGGTTAAAGGGAAGGATTCGAGGGGACGTGGAGCCGAGGTCCCGGGAAATGTTCCCGCATTGACCTTTTTCTTCTCTCTTCTTTTTCTCGCCTTCCTTTCCACGGCAGGCAAATGGGAATGTCCCTGGCACCACTGCGATGTGTGTGGCAAGCCCTCAGTTTCCTTCTGCCATTTCTGTCCCAATTCCTTCTGCAAGGACCACCAAGAGGAGGCTGTGCTGGAGTGCAACTGGAGCGGACAGTTGTTTTGCCCCGACCACAATGGGGAGAACTTCGCCGAGAAGAAAGCCAGGCGGCCTCCTAGAAAACTCTCTTCCGCCAAATGCAAACGGCAAAGGAACAAGTGGAAGAGGACATAATATTAAGAGGAACAAACTCGCCCCGCCAACCCCGCTTGCCCAAGGTTGCCTTGTAAATAAGTTGTGAATAGGGTCAGGGAAGGACACACTTTTACACATCTTGCGCAAGAACTGGGGTTTTTTGGGGGGGGGAGCGAGCGATTTTTAAACCCACTGAGCCAACCGGCAGCAGGACGCCTGCTGCAGCTGCACTGATCATGAACTCTGGCCTGCCAAGTTCAGACGTTTCAGGACAAACCAGGTTTTCTCTCCAGAAATAATGAGAATACTTGAACTGTTAGGAATGGAACAGTTCTTCCCGGCTGCTTCCTCAAGGGAGGAGGCGTGTGTTGATTTTTGACCAGCGACCCCATGTCTGTGGACAGTCTCGTAGCTTTTGAAATAGTAGCCGCCGCCACTTGGAGGAGTTTTTGGGGTAGAGGGCCAGAGAGCGAGAGGAGAGAGGGAGGCCTCGATTAGCTCTGGAAGCCCAACGTGGCGAGGAGATCCGCTTGACAGGATCGCATTAAATAAGAAGGGGGGGGAGGGGAGGGGGGAAGCGTCATACCATGGCTTTTGATTTTGTTTTGTTGTTTTAATTGTACTGGCATTCTTCTATCAAGACAAGGAAGCAGCAGATCTCTTGAACCCGTGGCCAGCTTTGGTCATCTGTGCCTCAGGTCAACTGTTTTAGTTCCATTAAGAAAAAAGAAAAATTGCATTACCAGTGTCCTCTTTTAAATGGATATTAAAATATGTGCCCCATTTTTTAGATTGTATTTGCATAATAAAAGTATTTCAAAATCAAACCCGTTTGAGGTTTCTTTTGAGAAGTAGACAGGAATCAGCATCAGAACGATTGCTGGAAGCCAAATGAACTCCGGGCTGGCCTTCTCTACAGCCGCCTTTCCTGGCTGGTTTTTTTCTCTTCCAACTTCTGGCTAAAAACGGGATTTGAAGCCCAGGAGAAACCGGACTTTTGAGTGACCAGGAAGGCAGGCGAAACGAGAGCCGACCCCGGCATCCTAAGCCGCTTCTCCATTAGGGGAATGTTGCAGGTCTTTTTCTCCATGGGACGCAGGCCGTTCTCTTCACCTGGGTCGCCGCCTTCTGCCTGCTGCTCCTCCCTTCGCGCCCAGGTGAACCCCGTCCTGTTCCGTTCCCAAGAATTGCTGTGCTGATGGGCAGGCATCCCAACTCCTCTGCATAAGAACTCTTCCTTCAGAAGAAAGAGGAGGGTGGCCCTGCACCCTTGAGGAGTGCTGCAGATACCTAAGGCAGGAGTAAGGCCTTCTAGAGGTCTACGTGTGTCGTGGAGCGGATTCCGGTAAAATCCTTCGGCAAGGTTTCCCGATAGAAGTTGTAGGAGAGCCACGTTACGGTAGGTAAAATGCCGGTTGCCTTTTGAGATTACTACAAACTTTGTTTGAAAACCTGAGCTTTTGTGAACGGCATCTCGCACCCTAAAATACCTAGAGGGGTTGAACGGATGCAAGGCTTTCAACGGAATTGGGGGGGCAGAAGAGGCCTTACCGCACTGCTATATTTAAATGTTATGCCCGTTGAATTGCCAGCCGTCGCCTGGCAGCAAGCCTTCCCGTTCCCGTTCAGCTGGTGGGGTGGAATTGGGCCGGAAGACAATTACCGTTTAGTTAGCACATCCCTTGGGCTGGCACTGGGGCGCCAAGGTCAAGGATGCCAAATAACACCACCACTCAGGCAAGAAGAAGAAAAATTGTACTTAAAAAAATCTGAACTTTATTACAGATATTATGCCGAAAATACGTACTCAAGGACATGAGGTTTTGCATTTACATCTGTACAAAAAACAAAATAGATAGAAAACATCTGGCCCGCTCTACTAGATAGGCAACATTTTACAAAACAACATTGCTTGTTTAAAAAAGTACCAGAACTCCAAGGTCTCGGGGCTCAATTCCTAGCCTTGCCTTTTCTCGCCTGTCCCGTCCGTGGCCTGGGAGGGGGGGAGGGGGCACGGTGGGGAAATCCTCACTTCTGGGGGGGTCCCTTTCGCTAACTGGTGGGGCGGGTGGGAGGGAAGGGTGCACGTTTGTTTCAACAATAACTCCCGTTTGCCTGAAGCTGTGGCTGTTGGATATTAGAAGTAATATTACAGCTGGAATTAAGACTCAACCCCCCCCCCCCGGGGAAAAAGATCAGAACCGGCCTGGCCTTTCGTCTTTTCCCTCTCGGAATCAGGATGGGAGCTCCTTCTAGGCCAAGCATAGCGACACGGAGGGCCTCGGCTGCTCTGGGTAGCCCCGTTCCTTTAGCCTGGGCACCTGCCACGTCCCCTGCCGGCCTGCCTTGCCAGCGCTTCCTTCTAGCCCTCTCCGGGCAGCCAGGCCTCACCCTACAAAGGCCAGGCGCAGGATGAGGGGTCCAAGAAAGGGCGCATCGCAGAAGTTCTTCCGGGACAGAGGCTTCCCTTGGTCTCAATCTACGTACGGTGGGGGCACTCGCCAGCCCAAATGGGGTTTTTAAAAACCAGAGGAGGGTTTCCCGAGAGCTTAGCAAAGGCGGGGGCGGAACCAGAATCTCTTGGGGGACATCCCCCCCCCCCCGATGGTTTCTGTGTCTCACTGCACCCTTCCTTGCACCGACTCTGAACGAAGACTTCAAACTCGAGTCAGAGCTGCTGGCTGGGCCACCAGGGCAAGCCCCCCCCCACCCCACCCCACTACCCCCCCCAGGGACCATGCAAAACCGCCCCCAGATATGCCAGAGCTCCACTCAAGCCGTCTGAACTGTCCTACTGCCTTGAATTCCTCCGAGTGAATTCCCCCCCAGGAGCGCATGGACACCACGGCTCGTAACAGCAGGGAAGGAGGGAGGGAGGGAGGGAGGACGGCCGCCACTCTGTAGTCCAAGCCCTGCCCCATTCTGGCCTGTTCAGGTCACACCTCTGTGGCCCCAGCTGGGCTCTTCCTGGCCTCCATCCCCACCCACTCCTGGTAAACATACTCTGGAAGGCAGGGGAGGGGACCCCGACTTGAAAGCAGAGCCACCAACACCTGCTAGGTGGTACTGCTCCACGTCTTCACCAGGACTCCGCAGAAAACGGCAGTCTAACTTCCAACCAGGTTTCTGGACAAAAGATGAATTGTAATGTACTCCAGAAAACAGCCGATAATGCCTCTGCATTCGAACGCGCTAGGACACGTCACGCTACATGCCAGCAGAAACGGGGGGGGGGCTTCCAACGCTAAAAGAATGTAGCCAGGTGGCCTCTTAAAATAACCCAAACAAGCCAGGTTGATACTGCATGCAAACCGACATAATTTGGTAAAAACTAGCCCTAATTGTTCGAAATCCTGCTTCTAGGCTCAGCTCTGGCTGAAAAGTTAAATCAAACGAAGCTGCGCAAGAATCTCTTCTGAACCCTTTGTGAGGCTTTTCTGATTCTGGCTGGCCTCCTGGGTAGGATTTAGAAACCAACACACCATTCAGGTCCGTTAAAACAAAACCTCACGGGATCCCATCATCTCCCCTCTTTCTAGCTCAACATTCTCCAAACGGGGGGGGGGGGGGGGGGGTCGGGATTTTGTTTCCAGCTGCAGTTTGGCCCAAGCCTTAATCCGTCCCCCTCCCGGCCCAAACCGTTTCCCTTGACCTTCAAAACTTAAAAAGAAAATATCCTACCATCTCCCTACAATTCCAATGAACAGAAAGAAATTCTTTATTTGTAAAACTCTTCCTCTGACTAAAACGACTGAGCTGTCAATTCTCAGACTTCAAAGGCTTACCAGGGAATTAAGGAGCCCAGAAACTAAGAAAACCGTTCCAACCTCGGGGGTGGGGTGGGGGGAAGGGGGGGGGAGACCTTTGCAATAGTGATGCCCCTGCAATCCACGTCACACCCAGAGACGCCCCTGCAGCCCTACGGTGACCAACGTAATGCCTTGGAAAAGAGAACTGCAGAAAATGAGCCCTGCGAGAGGAACCATCTCAGGTCACCCTTCAGCGACGGTGCCGCAAAGCAGGGAGGGAGGCCTAATTATTGTTGTTTTTGTTTTGACTGGCTTCAACGGGAAGCAGGCTCCGCAAAAGCTTCGCCGCGTGATGACATCCGCCCCATAACAGCCTTTCGCACACGCCACCTGGTCCCCCCGTCACACAAGGCAATCCTTGGAATTTGCTACGTCCGCCTTCTGAAGCCCCCGCAATCTCAAACTCTTGCAATTGAACCGTTCCAAGAGAACTCGGGAGCCGAAGTTGCTCATTCGCCTTCCCCGTGAGGGGAGCTCCCTCGCACGGGCGCCCCTGAGGTGGTAAGCTTTGGGGCCGCCCCTTTTCACCGGGCCCGGGTTAAAAGGTAGCCCCTTTCCGTGACTGGTGCATGGACACACACGCGGGGACCGGCTGTTCTCAAGGAAATGAAGGTTTATTATTGGTGCAATCCTGAGAAGCCGAAGGAAGAGGGAGGAGCATCCTGGGGGCTTTTCACCTCAGGAAAACCACCCCAAGGAGGGCCGCCCAGCAGGACCAGCGCTACTTGCAGTCAGCTGCAAAAGGGGGAAAGAAGAAACGGCCGAAATAAATAGCAGGGCCTCGATTGAACAAGGGAACGGAGAAAGTCAACCCTGGTCCCTGCTGGCGAAGGGCTTCCTCCCCTTCTCTCCTCCCCCAGAAGAGGCAGGCGGATGAAAAGCCGCCTTCCGCCATCACTCCTGCGATGAAGAGCTGCCGTTTCCTCCCGCCTTCCTCCTCCTTTGGCCAACTGTGGGGCTGGGACAAGGGCCGGTCGCCAGGCGGCCTCCCGGGGAATGTCGTTCTGCTTTTAGTGGACACACAACGTGGAAGCTGGCTTTACTCTAGGCGCTATTTGGTCTGCATCGCCCCGTCACGGGATTGCCTAAGGAACGTTTGTCATGGGCCTGCGCTTCGTCAGCCGGCTCCACTCGCCGGTGGCGTAGTTCATCTCGAAGATGGTGTCCACCAGCATGGTGGTGCTTCCGGTCCCGTCAGGATTCGGCATGACCTCCGTGTGCTCGCTCAGTTTGACCTGGATCACGTCGCCCTGCTCCTGGCACGGGTTTTCTGGGTGGGGGGGAGGAATCAGAGGTTCACAATTAGGTCCCTTCGAGGAATTGAGCGACGCCAGGAATGCCGCTTGGGACAAAGGCTGGGAAGGAAACCTTCCCTGACAGGCGCACCAGCTTTCGCCAGAGTTTGTTTTCCTCCCCGTGAGGGGCTGCCTTTGAGGACAAATCTCTCTCTAAACCAAGTTTGCATATCGGTGATTACGGGACCACCGGAGACGCCACACGCTAAACAGAAAGAAAACCCTCTTCACTGCTAAGGGCTGATTCTTTGCCTAGAAAAATTCTGGTAACTAAACCGGCTTCTCCGTGACTTTTGTTCAGTAAAACTCCGGGAGGCTGAGACTGCTAGCATTTCAACAGAAGGAGGCCCCGTCTTAAAATGGACCAAAAGACTCTAAAATAAATTGGATTTATAAAACTACATTTTTTCCTACCTAGACCTACATCTAAACGTCATACAAAAGGACCATGAAATATTATTTTAGATAAAGTTATGGATTATCCTTATTCCCAATCCACCAAATTACTTAGCAATTGGGCAACGTTTGGGCTTCAGAGTTTAGTGACCTGTTTAGCGACGGATGGTCACTGGCGCCACAAAACGTGGTTTCCACAGCAGAAAGGAGCGTCAGAGGCACTGAAGACGAGGAGAGCCCAAAAGGGCCTCTGGGCTGTGCCACACAATGGTCACAAAACTCAACTCAAGGGCAGCCTTGTGCTCTCAACATCGAGCCATTAAGCCTTCCTGCCCCCGAGATCCACAAACACGCCAACCAACCCAGCAAGGAAAGCCTGAGGCTTAATGTAAGCCTGGTGGGTTGTGCAAGAGCCCCCCCCCCCCCCGCAAAAGCAGGATCAACCATGGGTCACCCCTCCCTGCCCCCCTCCCCCCCTCAGGGCAAATCATGCTCCGACTGACCCACCGGAACCCGGAAGGAAGGCAAACACGTCGGAGACCAGCACTCGCTCCAAAAACGACCCCCACCCCAGCTGCCTCCCATCCATCCGAGGACGCCTCCTCCGGGGTCAGCTGAGCCGTCCTTCGGAGAGGAAAGTCGCCCAGGTACCCACCTCTGGATCCCGCCATGAACCCGAGGATGAGCGCCTTCTCGGGCCTTGTCACTTTGTTTGCCGTCTGGAAGATTTCACGGGCTGCAAACAGCTGCTCCTTCTGCAACGAGTTTCAAGGAGAAGACTCCGTTGCAAACAACGGTAGAAAAACCATTTCCCCGGGGCTGGAACCCCCGCCATCTTCACCGTATTTCTCTCTCTCTCTCTCTCTCACACACACACACACACACACACTGCCCCCTGCAGCCCCCTGCCTGTTTCCCTGGAAGTGGAAACATGTCAATTCTTTTCATCTCATGCAGGCGCATCGGAGGGTCCCACAGCTACCAAAATCTAAATGAGCTTTGTTATTTCTATGCATCAGCTACACTGTGTATTTCGTACGTGGCCCAAGACACGTCCTCTTCTCTCAACACGGCCGAAAGGTTGGGCCCCCTTTGGGGTCCTTTCTGGGGGAAAGTAACTGCCCACAGCAGCTGCCCCTCCCCAACTGGAGGGGAAGGCCCCACGCCCCCCATCTCCTCCTGGCTCTTTCATGGGGGTGGCCCTCAAGAGCAGAGCAAAGCCTAGAAGAGGCCCACGGGACGCAAACGTATTCGCGGATTGGTTTCCTGGCTTCCTTAATTTTATTGGCCACCCGCCCCCCCCATCTAGAGCAACTCTGAGGCCGCCACACACGAGGAAAGCAGAACGATTCAGCCCTGCTGGGCCACAAATTAGGCCACTCTGGCTAAAGGGGTCCTCCGTCTGTGCACGAGGCTCAGACCGAAACCATGAAAAAAAAAAACCCACCCCAAGTAGCTGGGAGGCCCTGTGCACCCCCAGCCGGGCCCGATTCCTTCCCTCCCCTGGGGAAAACCCACAAGCAGGGCGCCCCCTCCCGCTTCTGTCTTCAGTGGCGGGCTGGGCCCGAGAGGCTTACGGTGAGGGAGAGGCCCTTCTTGGCAGCGGGGGCATCCTGAGGAGCGGCGGGTGGTCCCTGTGTTGCCGGGGAGGTCACCGGAGGAGACACCGGGGACTCGGCGGGTGGGGCTGCTGCTGCCGTTGCTGCTGGCGTTGCTGCCGCTGCCGCCACCGCGGGAGTAGCACTCGGGTTCAAGTGGCTATTGTACATGGGCGTCCGTTGCTTGAACTGAGCCGCCGGGAGAGCAGTGGGGGGGGCGGCCGAAGCAGCTTCGTCCTTAGCTTGCAGGGGGTCCCAGGTGGAGCCAGCTGGATGTCAGGACAAACAGGCTGTGAGAATAGAAGGGCTCATTAAGGCATACCTGTCTGATGCCCTCCCTGCTCCTGTTCTCCTCCTCCTCCTCCTCCTGAACTTCGGAGAGCAACGTTACGTTCGCTTCTCGGGCAGCGTAAAAAGTCCACGGCCGCCACACATTCCTTTAAAAAGAGTCAGGCGTTTTCCTTAATCTGAATTCTTGTGGTGACCCCGGCCAAGTCTAAGCTGCAAACCGCTGCGCGGAACTAAGAACAAATCTACAGGAAAGTCACTGAGACGCGTTCGGACTTCTCTGCCAAGGGGCCCAAAGGGGGAACAACCCCAACCCGCAAAGGGCAAACGACAATAAGACGCACGAGGAACGGAGCCAAGGAAGGTCCGGTCACCGTGGTGGCATATTCCCAGAGAAATAAGGCAATATAGAAGTAGCCCTAGCCCTTAATACCGCTTCCCGTGGCTTCCCAGCCCTCTCTGGGAGGTTTTTAGAGTCAGCCTCTGGCAAACCCCAACAATCGGCATCCTCACTTTACCCACCTCGGAAGGAGGGAAGGCTGAGTCAAAGTGGAGCCCGGTGGGATTCGATCTGCCAAATTGCAGGCAGCCGGCAGGCAGCAGAAGGAGCCTGCAGTAACACACTTTGACCACCGGGGCTCCTGGATCCAGACGTTAACTCAGAGACTCCGCCTCCTTTACCTTCTCAGGTTCTGCTCCTCCCTCAGGTGTTATTTTCACTGTTATCAGGACTTTTGGCTTGGGGACAGAATCTTCTTGAAAGACATGCCTCCTCAGCCAAACTGGGCAATCCCTTCACACAACCTTGTGTTTACACTGTCATTTAACCCACCCAGATGCTGAAGTTACGGCAGGTATGGGGGGTGTTTTGGTCACTGACTTGGCTGGGGGTCAGAGCCTGGGACGTAAGAAGAGGACGGCACCGCGCTGGGCGCTGCAGGCAGGTAGCTGGTAGAAGCGAGCGCTGGGTCGTTCAGGGAAGCAGGTTTCTGCAAAAGGACCACAGAGACACACACACACACACACACAACCCCGTTTCAGAGTGGGTAAAACAGCACTTTCGCCACGTTCAGCTGACTAGACAAAAAGCCATCAGGATGACACCGGCCCTTATCGAACGACTAAACTTAAATGCCATTTAAAACCGTGCAAGGAAGAGCCCCGTCCAGCAAAAGGTTTAACATCAGGGAAAACCTAAGGGGGGGGGGGGGGGGGGGAACACCTGCCCAGCCAGGGACTCCAGGAAGGGACACGGGGGTGGGGGCGCTGCCTTCAAAAGGGGCCCTTCCCTTCCCAGTTCCGAGGCGGGGGAGCCCTACCTGGGTGGAGACGAGCCCAGCCGCATAGTCCGGTGTGGCGTTCTCTACGACCGTCTCCTCCTTGGCCTGCTTGGCCACCACGTCCGTATCTGCGGGACGGAAAGGGCAGGGTCATTCCCGCTGCTCCGGGTTCCTTCCGTGGGCTGCTCCACTCTTCTGGGGAAGCCCAAGTGGGGGGGGGGGCTCTTAGGGGGCCTTTCACAAAGGCCGGAACCCGGGGCGGGGGGGACTCAGCTTACAACAGGGCGTTTAGTGACTACAGATAAAAGGCCACTGAACGTGGCCCCTTGTGGTCCTTATTCCACACACCCCCGGGGCCACGCTGTTCACCTTCAGGCGCTAGGAAATCTGGCTCCTATTTACGACGGTCGCGTCCCCTTTTGGGGCCTTCGGGCAAGCCAAGCCCACGGGGGCAGCCGAGTTTACTTAGCAGCTGTGTGATCAGCTCAACTGCCCTGATTCGCTGAACAGCCGTGGCCAGAAAGGTGGCAACTTGGGGCAGAGCTCCCTTCATAGGAGTTCTGGGCTCCATTGTGGCCGGAGGTCGAGGACCGCCTGCATTGTCCATGGTGGCCCTGCGTGCCGGAGCATTTCAGGCTCTGCGTTCCCAGGGGGACCCTCCCTTCCTCCACCCCCCCCTGAAGCGGGGGGGCTGCTCCCCAGCCTCACAGACCCCCCCCGTCTCAGTCCCAGCCGACCCAGGAGAAGGGGGGCAGCTCAACGCACCCAACTTCTTCCTCCTCCTCTTCGCTTCCCGCCCGGAATCCACGGCCTTCAGCTCTTCCATGTCCAGGTACTACGGACACAAGAAGGCAGGCGTCATTTTTCTCCCACCAGGCACCAGCTGCTCCGCGGACTCCTTGACCGGCCTCACGGGTTACCTGAGGGAACCTCTCTTGCCGGTCACCTCTACCCAACCCATCAGAGCAAGGAGGCAGGGAAGGCTGTGGGTCCCACCCCTGGGGGAGCTACACCTGGTGGGACCAAGAAGGGCCTCTCCTCCCTGGTGGCTCCCTCTCTCTGGAATATCATTCCCCCCTCCGAGATTAGAATGGCCCCCCCTCTAGCACTCTTCCGGAAGGCACTGGAGGCGGCCTGGTTGTGCCAGCGGGCCTGGGGAACCCAGAGGGGGATGGAGCCCCTCCAGTGGCTTGTGTGAGGTGCTGTCACTGGGGTGTGTCTGTGTGTCTGTGTCTGTGTGTGTGTGGAGGTGGGGGGGGGTGATTTATGTTTTTCCAGATTTTGTTCTATTGCATTTTATTAATTTATTTGATTCTTCCTGTTAAGTTTTTATTGTTCTTTTTTTTATTTTTAGTTTTAAATATGGTATTTCATTGTGTAAGCTGCCTCGAGTCACCCTGGGCGAATAGGCGGCAATATAGGTTAAATAAATAAAGGCTACAAAGCTGGGAAGACTTTCATCCTCTGCATTAACATCCAAGAATGTTTCTGGCCTCCTCGTCCTGACGCCAAAGGAACAACTGTTGGGGTTTCCCTTCTCTCTGAAGAGTTTATCTGTCCACGGAAGGACTCCTTCCTCCCCCAAAAGCCTCTCCTCTCCTGTGGCCAGACTGTTCCCACGGCCTGCAAAAGCGGCAGGACAAGGGCCACGCACTCTCCTTCCGGGGCTTGTGCTTCTCAACATCCGCTGCTCAAGCGTCACGTGCTTAAGCGCAGCATTTTGCTCCTGGATTTCAGCGCCGTCTTTTCAGGGCGTGTCGGGGAGGCGGCCCATCAAAACTGCACATTATTCTCTAACTTACAAAATGCACCAAGTCTGGGAGACCTGTTTTATAAATTTTATAAATCGGTTTCAAAATGACAGAGATGAGAAAGCTGACTTTAGCGAGGAGGAACGCAGGAGCCTGGAAACCAAAGGCAACCCAGCGGTGGGATTTGGGCCCTCTGTGCTAACCCAACAGGAGTCCAATTCGTGGCGAGAGGAATGACTTCTCTTGTAGGAAGCACTTTGGATGTGACCTTCAGGGCGGCTTCTTCAATTACCTCTCCTTTCTACAAGGAAACCGGCTGGCCGGGGAGTCCCCAGGGCCATTCGGGCAGAGTGCGACTCCGCTGCCGCATGATGAGGCCCAAGGGAGCGCCAGGGAAATGCCGGCTGAGATTAAGGCAGAAAGGCCTCGAAGTGCTCGGAACGGCCGAGTGGAGCAGCTTCGAGAACCGCAACCAACAGGGACATGCCTACCTGTGGGTGGGGAGAAGCGAGACAGCATCCAGGGAGGTGGCTGGCCTGTTTCTGAACACAATTTACACTCAGGGAAAGCGTCTGGGGAGGAATTCACTTCCAAACACGCGCGTGTGGGTACCTTGACGCCTCTCTCCTTGCACAGAGGCACTTTGGAGGACAGGATGAGGGCCCGGTTCCCCGTGGGGCTGAAGACGAAGGGCGTGGTGGGGTTCCTGAAGGGAGCTTGCTTGGGGATCCCTTTGAGTGGAGCTGCAGACAGACAGACAGAGAGAGAGAGAGGACAAGGCGCTAAGATAGGGCCCCTTCCCTGCCCTCAGAGAGGCGGAAGACTGTGACAACCCGCCAAGTATGACCCGCTTCGTCTTTTAACCCCCCCGCCTGCCCTGGGAGTTCCCGTTTTCAAGACTCAACTCAACCACGGCAGCCAAAGGAACGCAGGTGGCCTTCAGAGTGGGCAGGATGGGCCCCTGGCGCCAGACCCCACCACCCAACCCCGGGAGTCACCGGACGCCCATCGGTGCTTGTCGGCTGCCCAGGAGACCCTGGGACTAAAACACCCCATCTGGATACCAAAGGCCTGGCCTTCCAGGGAACCTCCTCCTGCCCAAGGACCCCCGGAACGCCCGGGTACAGGCAGCTCCCCCCTCTTCCAAGGGGCTCCCGGGAATGCCGGCGGAGAGGCCCTCCGGCAAGCCCCTCCCGCTGGGTGCCTCGTCCTCTGGCAGCCGCCCCACATGGGGGGGGGGGAATCCTTCCGGTTATCAGTTCTCCTAGGGAGAAGCCGTGGAGGTCCTGGCCCCCCCCCCCCCCCGCTTACGCGGCCTGCCTCCTGGGGCCTGCTAGCCGGGGGGGGGGGGGGGGGGGGGGGGGGGGGGGGGGACACGACAACTTCCAGAAGGACAGAAAGAAGGTGGCCAAGTCCATCAGCAGCTCTTCAGCCGGCGCTTCCTCCCTTTAGGCCTTCCTTCTCTGGGCCTGAAGCTCCAGCAGGGATTTTTGTTCCAGGAGGAGGACAGACCGAGATACAATTCCCCCCCACCCCTGCACCCCCTGCCCTGGCCTCTGGCTGACTGACCCACTGGGTCTAAGCTGTGGCACCGCAAGCACCTGGCCGAGTCTTCTGCCCCCGTTTACAGTTTTTACTCTGACTGGGTTAGAAACCTCCTCCTGGGGAGTTTCTGGCATCCCACGTAAAAACGTTCACGTGAGACTCCGCAAGTCGCCACGCAAAGGGCTCCTTCTCCGTCGTCTTCCGACAGGCTCTGGCATCGTGTGGACGAATTGAGGCTCCCCAAAAGCTCCTTTCGGAGCCCTGTTGTGGCTCGTGGACGAGGCCGCTGTCCCTTTGGCAGAACCCGCCCTCCGGAGAAGGGCTGGAAGAGACCGAGAGGCGAGGCCACCCGCCCGCCTGCTGGGCTCGTGGCTTCTTCCCTGGGGAACCCGGCCTGGAGACCTCCCACCCCCGGGACTGCTTGGGAAGGAAGGGGGCGCTGGCCACCATGGGCGCCTCCACGAGTTCCCCTTTGGGGGCAGGAACTCCCTCCACAGCCAGCAGGAGGAGAACGGGCCCAGCCACAAAGCTGGACTTTCGCACAGCCCCAGGAGCGCCATGTGGCTCACGGCTCACCCGAAAGTGGAAGTCTGAGCTGGCCAACGGGAGGAGCCCCCACCCACCCCCTTCCTCCGGGGAGCGCCTTTCTTCTCCAACCTGGCACGTGAATCTACCACCCAGGATCCAACCCCCGGGGGGCATTTCCTGTATTGCCAATTGACCTGAGGGCTGGAAGTGGCTGCCCGTAGAAAAGGGGAAGAGAATGAAAGCCTACTTGTGGTGTCCACCTTCTTCACCAACCCTCTTCCTTTGGCATGAAAAGCTACTCCGGCCGTCTTCTTCAGCTGTTGCGCAGTTTCAGCAGCTAACGACATGGCAAAAATCTATTTAGTATCCAGCTTTAAAAGGGCAGGAAAAATCACACGTTAATGTTAAAGGAAGCTTTCAATGCAGCATTACACTCGACTATCCAAAAGGAAGATAATCTACGGCCCTAACTTTTTTTCACGTTAGGGTTTTCTTTTGCAGTTAACGGAACACAACAGAACAACTTTCTAGGACAGCCAGAGGCAAATGAGGGAGAATTTCTTTACTTAAGAAGTTTTGTAAAAGAAATAGGAAATCTGCACAGGTTTCATCGGTCAGTCAGACATGAAAAAGCCTATTTCTTGCTCAAATCTCCTCTCTGCTGCATTGGGGTCCGGCCCTCCATTGTAAGTCGCTTCTTTTAGTTCCGTTGTAACTTGGGACAGTCCCTAAACAAGCTGCTAAGTCAGGGCTCTTCAAACTTGGCAGCTTTCAGGCTTGTGGACTCCAATTCCCAGAATTCCTCCTCCTCCTCCAGGTATATCAGCTCAGGAATTCCAGGAGTTGGAAGTCCACAAGAATTACCCCGGCCAAGATTGAAGGCCCCTGTGTTGAGTCGAGGGCTGGCGCGCTCCCTGCCTGCTTCTCCTCTGCTCCTGGGAGTAGGGCCACCGGGGCTCAGCTACTTACACTTCTGCAGGAGCTCCGCTCGCAGAGTGGCACTTTTGGGCTTCCGCTTCAGCTGGAAGTGTTTGACGGGAGGCGTGAAGGGTCCGGCCAAGGTGGTCAAGGCGTTTTTGTTCAAGTACTGGCATTCCAAAGGCAACATGGCGGAGGATTCACAGTCGCTCACTGGGTCAAAATACAGAAGTCGCAAGGAGTTCGGTGTCAAACGAGAGCAGCCGGCGGGGGGGACGGACAATGGGAGGGTCCCTCCGGAATGCGAACGAGACCAGGGGGCCTCCTCCCTCTTGGCTCCCTAGCGCAGGAGCTGCGGAGCAGTGAGGAAGACCCTCGCTCCTCAAAAACGGGTTGGGGGACGGGGTTGATGCCCGAAGGACCGGAGGGAAGGTTACGGCTGCCCTGAAAGGTGGGCCGGAGGCCTTGGACAGGGATGGTTAAGAGGGCGCAAGTGATGGCTGGGTGCCTAGCGCTGGCGTGGGCACCGTGGACGTGGAGGCTGGGTTCTAGGGCTGCCACAGAAATGCCCGGCCTGGCCTGGCGGGTGCCAGTGGAAGGCAGAAATGGCCAAGGGCAGGATTGGGGGGGGGGGGGGGGGGGGGGAATTAGGCCCCCGAAGGGGGAGGGGGGGGCCCCCCCGGGGGGGGGGGGGGGGGGGGGCGGGGGGGGGCCGGGCGGGGGGCCCTGGACCGTCATTACGTTCCCGCTTTCCTCCCAGGGAACCCCAGGGCCCCCAACCCTGCCTCGCTTTCACCAACCAATCCGAGGCTTTCTTCCTTTTAACTTATTTGGGGCCTTCCGGTGTTCTTGGGCGCCTTTTCCGGCGTTTTAATCTCCTATGTTTCTACCCTCTTCGTTGTGCCGAGTGTTTTTGCCTGACTGAGTTACGTGGGACGAAGCAACTGGTGAGATGGTGACCAAAAGCAAACCCCAAAAAATCAAAAGTGGACGTGACCAAGCAGGAGCCACGTCAGCGGCAAAGAGTCCGTTCCTCTCGGGGCTTGTTCTGGACTCCTGGCCGGTGTCTCGGTCCAGATGGGCCAGGCCAGACACCCACCAGCCCAGCAGAGGATTCTTTGTGGGGGGGGGGGTCATCAGGGGTAGGAGGTCCACCACTTTGGGCCTTTGGGGGTGCCAAGAGGGGGAGGAGAAGCGACACTGAGCCGAGAGTAACTCAGGAGGAGCACCTGATACGAAGATCAGCGCAACATCTTTCTGCAAAGGTGAATACAGAGTTATTATTTATATGCATTTATAAACTCTAGGTAAGAAAAGGGTTACTACCCCAGGTGCATGCATTTGGACACCCTTCCAGGTAGCATTCCACATCACCTTCAGCTTAGTCTTGACACCTGGTAGCTGCCCGGATGAATCCCCCAAAATGTTCTTGTCAAAGTGTTGGCCATTGCCTCCTTCCTAGGGCCGAGATAAAGGGACTGGCCCAACGTGGAAGGCAGGACTCAAGGCACCCAAGCCCGTGGTCTTAACCACTACACCGAGTCGGCTGCGTATTCAAATCAGCCCAGCTGCACATGATACACAAATACTGAGCATGGTGTGTGTGCAGCGTCATTACGGGGCCGCGCAGTGCGACCCTCCCAATGCAACCGGTCACACCATTCCTGCCCCCTGCTTGCCAACTGTGGGAGAGGAGCCTGCCCCTCCCCCTGGAGAGGCCTGCCAAGGGCTCCTGGGTCCCTTGGCAGAGATACTGGCAAACCTTTACCGCCAGGCGGCAGGGGGCACCTGGCCACAAGAGACGGGGGCTCCCCTTCGCACAGCCTTTTGGTCACCGGATCCTAAAGAGGATCGTCGAGAGGGGAGGGTCGCTTTCCCTTCCACGCCGGGCCGTTCTTGTGCCCGTTCTGCATAGCCCATTCCTGGCACATGCCCTGGGTGCCCTGCCAGCCTCCTGCGGACTCACCTCCTCGTCACAAACAGGCTCCCTGGCACCCCATCACCCACCCATTGCTCCAGAGGCCTCTGGAGAAGACGGAGACACTGGGGGGGACCAGTTTGCCTCTCTAGCAATGCACCGAAGGTCTGGCGGGGAGAGCAGCCTTGGCCTGAAGCCCCCGCCCCCAGCTGCTTCCTTGATCGCAGCGCTGGAGGGAGGCAGCTTCCTCCGGAGGGGGCTATTCAGGCAGCGGGGGGGGGGGGGGATCAGCCGGGGACCAGAGTCTGCCCGCTTCTGCCCTTTTGCACACCCCACAAGGGGCACCGCAGGACAAGCCCGACCTGCCCCGAAGCCGCTTGCCAAGGATCAACAGTGTGTTCTAACTTTGGCTCCTAAGAGACAGGCAGCCCCTCCCAAAGGAGCTCCATGCATGGAGCATCAGAGCGATGGGTTTGCGTCACGCGCGCTCGGGCGCCAGGCCACGGGGAGCGGGAGGCCGTTACCTTTCTCTCGCAGTTCTCCCAGGATGTCCTGGACATTGGGGTTCTGCTCTTCCAGATCGAGGTTAAGGGAGCCAATATCTGGGAAGGATTTTAAAATATCGGCCACCATCAAGACCCAGGGGTCTGGATCCAAAGTAGCCAGCTGGATAATTTTCGTCAGGGCGCCTTTCATCTAGGAAGAAAGAAAGAAAGGAAAGAAAGAAAGAAGGAATGAATGAATGAATAACTAAAGGGGGGGAACGTTCAAAATCAGCTGGGACCTTGTTTCTGGAGCTCTACAGAGCAGGCTCGGCCCCTCAGTCCCTCCGGGAACTACGAACAGGCCGCGCAGAGACCCAGGAGCAGAGCTGGGACCCGTGTCATGCCAGCGCCAGCGCCTCTCTCCGTCCTCAGCCTCCACGCAATGAACACGGGTGGGGGGGATGCTCTGCAGAAGCACCAGCACCCCCAATCAAGCTGCCACCTGACAGAATCGACAACATTTTCAACGTGCGACTGAAATACTGAAACAGCAGCTGTATAACGGAGCTGCCATCTATTTTCGAAGTAAGGAACATACGAGGCTGCATCAAATCCACACCACTATTTTGAGTCCTCGTCGTCCAGCTGCAGGGCTCCAGAATCCTGACTGGACAGGCCTTTCCTCCCTGGAGGCTCCTTGTTGAGGACCCAAGCACTGAATATTTATCAGTAAAGTGTGCCCTGGATCTCTCTACCGCCAAAGGTGATGCGAAGGCTGTGAGAAGCCGGGAAGAGCCTCTATTGAATGCCTAGAGAACCGGCACGAGGATTGGCAGCTGGTAGAAACGGACACCTGCCAGTTTCCCCGTCAACAGAAAAGTATCAGATTCGACAGGAAACGGGCAAAAACCACGAGGTTGCAGCCCATCGTCCGCTTCACCGTAAGAAGTCACGAAAACGAAATTTAGCTTTCTACACTGGCATATTTGGGCGTGTAACCAAGAAAATGCTTCTCAACTGGACTTGATCCAACTCTTAACTCAGACAAATCAAGGAGAGGGAAATTAACCCAAAGTCTTAGGAGAGGCCGGTTCCTGCGTAAATGCTTCTTAGGGGATAATAATGATTAGCTTCAGCTACCTGCCAAATGTCATTTTTTATGCTCTTATTTTGTTCCGGTGTTGATTTTCCCCCAATTCATAGGGATAAATGCACATTAATCCATCCTTTCAGACAAGTGTTAAGTCTTTAACCGTCTTCCCCCTCTTCTTTTATCTCTTGGAAGTTATTGTTTATCTCCCAGGAGAGATTTTGGAGAAAGCTGCAGGGTGGAGCACCATGGTAATCAAAAACTCCCTTTTTCTGAACTGGGGAAGCAGCAACTGTCCAGGCCCAAATTAAACAGCTGCTTTTCCCAAAACCACCAGAGGTGAGACAGTTTACACGCTTTCCCTACTTTGGCTACAAATGCACAAGACAACAACGTCACCACACAAAGAAGGGAAACCTAAACAAGGTCCAGTTGAGAACAGGGAGTTCGTGAACTCTAAAATATTTTACATATTCGGCGATCCCCCAATACAGTATTTCAATTTCTGCTCTTACAGCAGTCCGCTGTCTTTTACAATGAACAATTTGAAAATCAAGGTGTTCTTATTTCCTGTACAGCATCAGGAAGCTTATATAATTGTACCGTAATGGATAATTATTTTCCAATTTACAGTTAAGCTTACTCAATTATTTCCCTCCTATTTCCCAAAATTTGAAGAAAAAAAAAATGTTGCTCCTGAATTTTAAATGTCTAATGGAGACCCTCCATCATCCGGGTCCCAGTTGCCCCAAAGGTGCTTTTCCCAAAAGGCAGCTGGGCTTGCTTGTTATTTTCCCCCCTTGGAAAGCATTTCGCTTCTCATCCAAGGAGCTTCTTCAGTTCTATTTGGTTCTTCAATTCTCTCCACTGAGAACTGACGAAGCTCCTTGGATGAGAAGCGAAATGCTTTCCAAGGGGGGAAAATACCAAGAAAGCCCAGCTGCCTTTTGGGAAAAGCACCTTTGAGAGTCCTGAATTTTAGTTACTATATTAAGAAACCACTCATACAGTTTGAATATGTGGTGAATATGCAGCTTCTCCCAATCTGGTTTCAAGGTTCTAAAATTCAAAATATTGGCTGCCCAGCAAGTAAGATTAGCCTGCAATTTCATGTCTCTGAGGCCCAGGGAGTCCCATACGGGCCTGGGACTCTGGGAAGCTTTCAACGGGAGGCATAAAAAACCAAGTCTCTCTCTCACACACACACACACACACACACACACACACACCTAACCCAAAGCGCCTAGCAGCGGAGCCTCCTCAAATGACCGTCCACAGAGCCGAGAGGCAGGGAGGGAGCTGCATCACGCTCCCCTGGCCTGGCAGAATCCCAAGCTTTTAGGGGTTGGCAACAGGCCGGCCGGCCGGCAGACCCGGAGCTGACCTAACCACACAGGGAATGAGGCTATTGGGAGGCCCGGCAGGCAAGATTTCCGATATATAAATGCTAGAATACACTTCACTACCCAACTGGGTAACATCATCAGGGACAGGGAGTGTGGGCTTTGCTCCCTGCTCTGCCAGTATTGGAGGGAGGGTGGTTTTTCTCCTTGTTACTTCCTTGATTAGGACATTGTTTTCTGCTTGGCTGCTTGGCTGGTGTCAATCCCTGCTGCCTGCTGGAGATGATGTGTTCTGCTCTTTATGTTCCTTGCTTTGTTCTTAATTGGCTGTTTTGAATAGTATGTACACCTGGTTTATCTCTACGTGCCTGTTGATGGAGATTGGTTTCGAGTGCCAGGCTTCCAGAAATTCTCTGGCGTCTTTGGACCATCTCCCACCACCTGAAACTATATGGTGACATTTGTCCACATCTTGCGCAATTAAGGCGTTTTTATCCTACCTTCTGACTGCTGCTTGGTGTGCATGGATGCTAATCTCGGCTAACCTTCGGCCTGCCTGTCCCGCATAAGGCCATTGGGGTCTTTGCACTTGTGTTGTAGGCGACGCTTGGGTTTCTCCTTGGGCCAGAGTCTTTTATTTAAGAGGTTTCGGAGAGCTTGAGCAGTGGGTTCGTGCGTGTGGTTCTACTAGGGGCCTGTCGGATGTTTTTTTTTGGGGGGGGGGGGGATTGTGTATGAAGCATTATCCTTTTCACAACCTGTTGCAACAGGTTACATTGCAGTGGGCTAAATGGCACTTTTTAATGAAGCTGCATATCCATTTTGGGGGAAGCGGTTGTGTAGGCGCCTTTTCCCTTTTTTCTGGTGTTCTGGGTTGCTGCAATGCCTCTGAGCTTGTCTGAATGATGTTCTTACCCAGCACCTGTTGAGGGAAGCCGGGGTGTTACTTTGGCAATGGAGCACCTGGTGACGGGGAGTTTTTAAACATTTCTAGTTTGCTGTTGCTTCTTCGGGTGACGAAGGTATCCAGGGAAGGTGCTGTGTCGTTCTTTCCTTTCCTTGTGAACGTTCTTCTTTGTTGTGGTTTCATGTGTCACTTCTACTTGTTCCTTTAATTATGAAGGGGCCACCTACATAACGGATCCATACTGTTGGCTGCACCGGTGGGAGTGGCATAGTTTCTGGACCAGCATGTCTCAACCGTGGCAACTTTAAGAGGCCCAAACTTCCAACTCCTAGAATTCTTGCCAAGCTCCTCTAAGTATTTGCTGCTCTTATGGGGACACCTTCATCCTTCTTGGGGTCCTCCTACACACCTGGACAACAGCCCATGACCCGCCTTCCTTGGAGGCCTCTCTTCACCTTCTTTAAGGAGCTGGACTCTTCCGTACTCTTGAAAACTGGCTCGCAGTCTTTCCCCTGATCCGTCGTCCTACGGATACAAGATGTCAAGCATCAAGTATAACTGCTGCAGGATGCAAGAATTAGAGGAAGGTTTGGATTACCTAATTGGGAATTGATGTGGATGAAAGAATGGATTGTGTTGAGGAATACAAGGTTAACACTGGAGGGATAATTGGAACGGCATGTTTTTTGATGGTATGGGAAAAATAAAGTCCATGGCTACTTTGAAAGACACTATATAAGAAACACCTTATTGTTAATATGGGGAAAAAAATAAGAAAACAGCATTATTTGAAGATTCCAGTCTGGCTTTTGACAATGGAAGTGTTTATATATCCAAATGTTCTCAAAAAGAGGAATATTGTTGGATATAAAGATGTTTTAAATGAAAAGGGTGAACTCAAAACAAGAACTCAATGAACAAGGGATTGATATGAACTGGTATTTATGCAAATACATTCTGGGTATGAAAAAGGTGCAAAGGAGGCGGGGGTTTTAGGATAAGTTGACAGAATTGGATAAAATTCTCACAGGAAGAGGAACTATAAATTAACAGTGTCAACAGCATACAAAGAGAACCTATATAAGATGTTTTATAGATGGCATTTAGCGCCAGCAAGGTTGGCAAAGATGCTTAAAGATAACTCAGCTGAATATTGGAAATGCCACCAGGCACCAGGATCATATTATCATAGGTGGTGGACACGCACAGAAGCGAAAGGATACTGGACAAAAATACACTTACAGTTGGAAAAAATGATAAAACAACATATAGACTTAAAATTCAAGATATTTCTATTGGGAATTCTACCTGATAACTATAGTTAAGAAAAAAATGTATTTGATTATTCATATCTTAACAGCAGCTAGAACTGTTTTTGCTCAAAACTGAAAGAATAATAAGATTTCTACAGAAGGTGATTATGAAAATATTTGAATGTGCAGAAATGAATAGATTAATACTGGAAGTTAAAGAACAAGAACATACAGAATATTATATGATATGGGATGTATTTTATAAATGGTTGGAAAACAAAGAAATTGAATGAATATAAGAGGTAATGAGAATACTATAATGAAAGAGAAAAAAGGATGAAACTTTTAATATGAATGTAACTTTAATGGTATATTTAACATGGAAAGTACATTAAATATGAATACGTGCACAAGATATGTGTATCCAGTTAACATACCACTGAATTGAAAGATGGTCATTTTGTAAAAGAAATTTAAAAATAATAATAATAATAAAAAGATTTCAAGCGTAAAGTATGCAAAAAGCATAACTTCAAGGGGGAATATATACGGCACCCAGTGCTGTACAGGTCTACCTTGGGGTTCCTACTCCTAGCAGGGTGCGAGGATACTCTGGTCTTCCTGCTGCTAAACCCTCACCCCGCGCCTCTTGGCTCCCCTCTTCCCACCCAGCGGGCTGGCTTCTCTCCAAAGGCGGCCCTTTGAGCCGGCTTGTGCACGGGATAACCACTTAATCCGCTGCTGCTGCCGCTGTGTGCCTTCCTGCTACTCCCACCTTGGCCAAGATCTTCCCTCAGGAAAAGTCACACCACCCCGCTTTCCCCAAAGTCAGGAGGTCAGCTCCGCCGCTCCTTCATAGCGCCTGTGGGGTTCCATTGCTGCCCTCGTTTCCCTTCGCGCTAGTTACCTGCCTGGGACTGGGGGCTGAGATTCATCCATGTTCTTTTAAGGGATAACAACTAAGAGTAATGCAACAGTAGGAACAAATCTGGGGTCCCAGAGCTCCGGTCTTCCTTGGGCATGGGAGCCAACTCAAGTCATCCTGCACCTAGGTCTCAAGGAGAAAAGGAGCATCTGCTGTATTGATGCCTGGAAGGGGGAATTTTTTCCCCCTTCAACCCTGGGCCTCCATTGTACTGGGCAGAGGGAGGAAAGTGTGAATGGGCAGGGCCCCAGGACTTTGCCTCCAGCTGCCAGCTAATCCTTAACTCACATTTTCCTGAGACGGCACAGCTATCATGTGGCCCAGAAAAACACTTTAAAAGAAAAAAGAAAGACCTATGCACCGAGGGCTTTCCCAACCTCCTCAAAGCCCGTTTTTTCTGCTTTGGGTCCAAATAGCCGCGCACCCCTCACACAAGCAGTTTTGAAGCAAGATATGTGGTGCGTTCCTGAATCAAACAGGAAAGAGACGGATTCTCCACGCTTGTAAGAGGACACCGGCTGTTTCCAAGCAACCTACAGGTGGGAGCTGAGCCGCCTCCCCATCGCACTGGAAGATCCTGAGAACGGAGCGGTCTTAATCGGCCCAGCGGTGGTACATTCCCCACTGGGGAAGGAAAGGGCTCACTGGAACTCCGTCTTTCCTCTTTCCACTAATAAAAGTTACTAGTCTGGGCTCAGAGAATCCGGTTCCTTGTTTCCAGGCCAGGTTTCTGCCAGAAAAGTTGGACAGAGTGGCATCTGCTGATCTAACAATTCATTATGTAGGAAAGAAACCAGGTATTCTCAGTATTTTTTCTTTCAAGAATCACTTCAGAATTCTGAGCACTAGGGAAGAGCTATTTATTCATCCAGGCCTTTTAGCAGAGTTTGGTATTTATTCTACCTGCTTCTTAGTAGGGTAGAATGACTCCCTGAATATTTATGGCCTACATTTCCTCTACGGAATTCAGGGTGATAAACATTGGAGGCTGCAGACAGAATTCCCAGGGCAAAGCTCCCTTCACCAAGTGTCCCAAGGACATCTAGACTAGCCTCCTCTCATAGACGCCTCTCTATCAAGAGCAATGCTGTAGATAACTACCCTCACTTCCCCGTATCAATGATCGCGAAGACTGGAAACAGGAACTATGATGCCAAGAAATCCAAAGAGGAACACTTTTAAGGAGCTGGTTTTGATCAGCCTGCCTGAGGTCCAAGGCAGGGATGGAGGCTGAAACAGGAGGAAGAAGCAGACCAGCTGGGTTGCTAACAAATGGTTTCTCTGGAATGCAAAGCGAAGGGCCGTACGACTGCCCAGACATGCCCACGTCACTTTGGTGCCAACAATGCCAAAATTGTTTGCCAGCAGCGGTGTTCGGTATTTATCCACCCCTGTAGCAGGAAATATACTTTGTCTTATTCCAAGCTGAGTAAACACAGAGGACCGAGTTGCAGGTGTTGTACTTGTGTCAGGCAAACCCAGAGGCAGGTAGGGAGGTGTTTGACCGCTCACACACACTCGGAAATACAGAAAGAAGCGACAGCACGCCTGCTACCCAGAAATCCAGTCCAGAGTGGCAGCTAAGGGAGGCAGGCGGGGGTGCTAGAAGCCCAATGTGGCATCCATTCAAAACAGGGCGAGGCAGAGAGGCAGGCGGGACTGGTGAGACTCCAGTAGTCAACTGGCAGAGAGTTCCCTGGGCTGCAACACTGAGAGCCAAGGAGGAGAGCAGGAGGCAAGTAGGCAGGAACAGAAGGCCAACATCAGGGAGTTGTTTCCAACAGAGAGTGATCCCTGGAGGCTCCTCTGAGTAGCCCAGCCGGCGGTTAGGAGCACCGATGGCTTCGCTTCCCGAGGAAGGAAGGACGTCTCCCTTGTTTTGGTGTCTGAAGCTGCTGCCCCATCTTGGAAGTGGGCATCCTGCCAGGATCCGGCCTCTCGCCATCTCTTGTGAGGGGAGCTGGTCTCCTACCTACGCCTCCCGAGCCGGGCAACTTGACGGATCTCGCACACGTACCCCTCGGTCTCCGAGACGTCCCGGGGCCGGCATGGACGCCCTGCCTGCAGCTGCCTGGCAGAAGGATTTCTTCTTACGGCGGTCCCAGTGACAGGAAAACACTCGTTGCAGTTCGGAAGAGGTTACCGGAGCTGCACAAGACTTTTGCCGGCACCATTTCTGAGCCTGCAGGCCTCTCTTTAGGGGCGTCCTCTTCTCCTGAGGAGACCTCTCAGCATCGCGGTCTCACCTTCCACCCCGAGGCCATTTCCTGGGAGTCTCCCCTCCACCGGGAAGGAGGGGGGGGGGCATGGGGGTCCAACCTTCATGAGCTCCTCCAAAATCAAGGGAAAGAGCTGCCGTTCCTCGGATGGTCCCTGCTCAAAGCTTCCCTCCGCAAAGCAGATCGTCCCACAAAACAAGGAACAGCACAAAAGAGGTCGCTCCTCCCCACCCTCCCGAGACCCTGGAGCCCAGGGACTCCCCCCCATCAGGCCTCCCACCCCCCTTCACGAAGCCCCTGGCCCTTAAGAAACCCCCTCTGAAGCGGGGGCCTCCGACCTGGGCCCCTTTAAGCCTAGTGGACTTCAACTCCCAGAATCCCCCAGCCAGCTTTGCTCTGGGAGTTGGAGCTCCCCAGGCTTGGGGGGGGGGGGTGCAAGGTCGGAGGCCCCTGCTTGGGAGGGGCTGAGGGCCAGGCAGGACGGCCAAGAGGAACCACCACAATGGCCTCTGGTTGGCCCCAACAACACTTGGGGGGGGGGGGGGATTTATGCAGTCCTTGACTTACGACCACAACTGAGCCCACCCAAAATGTTTCCATCCCTAGACTAGGCCCTTGTTACGTTTTACGACGTTTCTGGGCATGGTCTTTAAGCGAATCACTGCAGCTGTTAAAAGTTAGCCACATGGTTGTTATCAAATCCGGCTTCCCACATGGACTTTGCTTGTTGAAAGTTTGCAAAAGGGGATCGCAGGACATCCCCACCCAGAATGCTGCGACCGTCATAAGTACGAGTCAGCCCGCCAAGCGTCCTAATTTGGATCGCGCGACCCCGGGGAGCCCGCAACGGTCGTTAAGTGAGAAAACGGGCCCCGAGCCCCTTCTTCCAGCGCCGTTGCCACTTTGGACGGTCCCTGGACGGGCGGTTGTAAGTGGAGGACCCTGGCCTAACCCCCCCCCCCCCCCCCCCCCCCC